CGTGTTGTTGCGGAGGCACGTTTGTCCAGGTCGCGTAGTCATTCCTCTCGACGCCATCGATCCCGCAGTCCGGATTCACGTCGATTCAGGATGCGCCATCGTTCATCAATGCATGAATCACGCTCCAGATCGCGCAGTCACTCTCCTGCGCATGCGGCCATGGGCAGACACCAATCTCGGTCGCGTAGCCATTTGCCCTATATGCCGCCACATTTCGGTGCTCCGTATGCTGTCGTTCCGCCATCGGTCCCGTCTATGCTTCCCCAGCAGTTCCCCTACTCTCCTCCAGGGTACCATCCCGCACAGGCCTAACATGAAGATTCCTCATATAATGTTTCAAGTGTGGCATCGAGTGGTTTGCCACCTCCTGCTACCTCAAGCCGCAGCGGCAGCAGCTTTGTCCGCACACTCCAAACTATCTGTTTGGTCGTGTTCTACTTCATCTTCGATTACATCCCTCGGCAACTGTACCTGCACCTTCTCCTACGCATTCCGTCGCTCTACTTTTCTCGCGTCACCCGCATATTTGAAGATGCACGGCTCAGCTTACCCGATATCAAACGAATGGCGCGTGCGCGTGCGGAGCAGTGGAATCCCGCGGAAAACCCTCAATGGCCGTCCCTGATGTTCGGACAGACACCAGATCATACCGCACTACCACGAAGTTTACTTCATTTCCGTTCGTCTTGGGAAAATTTTATCGATTCCTTGATGCGCGAGTGGAAGACACTGAATATAATCTCTGTCCTACTGATGTCGTACGCATGCTACTTTCCCCTCCCCCGCCGATTCTGATACTTGCGCAGCGCCATTCTCACGATGCTTCAGATCGACGCGGCAGCTCATCCCATAACGCGCACATCGGCGCTGTTCTCCCTTATATGCTCGTTGATGAGTCTTCTTTATGGCTGTATGTACATCATCCGCTTTGGGACCATGCGGAAAATGCACAAGGCCAGCAGCTTTGCCAACGTAGGCTGTGTAATTGGTGTTACTCCATATTCAAGGCTGACTCTCGCATAGGAAGCACAGAAGGGAACAACGAGCATCTGGTGGAATGTTTGGGTATTGCTGGCAATGGTGAGCCAATCTTGGCTCATAGCCTGTGCGAAACTGATGATGAGTGTTGTCGCCAGCCGGCCATTTGGCTCTCGTGGTGAGCAGCAACCTATCGCATCGTCTTTAACATAGTTGATGCAAGTGTTTATAGGTCGATTATCACGTTCCTGGTGTGCATTATGTCCTTCATCTGGCTCAGTGGGTCGTCAGCGGACCCCATCGACTTCATCATCTCGCCCCATGCAGCCCTCGGCCCCCGCATTGGCCTCACCGTTGTTTTCTCGTTGGGCATCCTGTACTTTATTCTAATCGTTCGAGAGTTCCATCGATATGGGGACCCACTGGACCGGGAGTGGATGCGTACAGTAAACGAATGGAGCAGGGAGTTTGCATATGTCCCGGTCAAACCTCCTTCACGCCGCTCGCCTACACCTCGAAATGCATTTGATCAAAAAGTTCACATCGCTGCGACTCCTCCGATAACCCGAAGCAAGTCGCCTAGCCGTAGCCATACTCCAGAGATCCATCGTCCTTCCATCCAGGTCGAGATACCGTTGTCGTTTCTGGCGGGTGGCTTTACCAGGCTGCAGCCTTCCAGCCCTTTGACAACGCACCCATCCGCCTTTTTCAAGGATACCCCCGAGTCCCGCGCCGCTCTTGTTAAGCCTGACTCACCCGTCGAAGTCATGCGATTGGGTTATCCTGATGTCGAGGCCCGCAAATATGCCTATGCAGACCCGATGTGGGCTCATGCGATTGAGGCAGACGATTGGGGCCGATTTACGCTAGTACGCCTCATCAATGCTCCTTACTGACTCGCCGAGCTGATATTTTTTAGGATATTTCTAGTGCTTGGAATGGACAGCTGGCTCTGATGCCACCAGAGACTGCGGCCAGCGACCTCGACCTCCCCATCTACGCCCTGCAGCGGCCGGATAGACCCGACAACCCTATGCCCACCTCCGCAGAGTCAGATGGCCGGTTTGGTGCTAATCCTGTTCAGAACCGTTCACTTGGCTCGTCAGAGTCGTCGTCGTATGGTCGTGTCAAACCCTCCAAGTATGCCAATGCTGGGTTTACGGCTCCTGAAAATTCGAATACAGAGGAGCACGAGCAGAACGCTTCTGCTTCCGTCAAGAAAAACTCATTGTCTCCCACACCCTCTCCCGATGACGGTGTGGAACCCAGTACTTCACAGATCACGGCCGAAGATTCCGTGCAAATTGTCCGCGACTTTATCAGTCTATGGAACAAGCGGTATTTCCACCCTCGGAATATAGAAGCAATACTGGTGCCCCTACCTAATTCATCGGGGCCCGAGTTCGCCGTCAATCTGGCAATGCGGTTCCCCTGGGCACCTACCCATCCCGACTCTGAACCTCTTTATGGTATCCCGCCTGATACGAATACTTCTCGATTGCCTGTGGAAACAGCGAGCGAGATTGGTCCATCTGGATCATTTACGACTGCCGACGACTCCCCAAATTCCCCTAGTGCCACACATGTCCCAGATAGGAGATCTACGCAGAGTTAATGTCATTACGTCTAACACGAAATATTTTGCATGAGAGTGTAGGGAAAATGGTACAGTGTGTAATTTAGTGCACCTACAATAATACAGGTCGGGGTGACTTTATGCACAGTCAAGGTGGGGGTGAGAGATGAGGCGGTATTGTGCAGAGTTTGAGGCCCACGGAGAGACATACTACAGGCCTCTATGTTCCCGCTACCCAGAAGCAGATCGTCCTCGCGTGGGTGACCATTCTCGACCGTCTCTCAACTGCTGTGCGAGAGCTGAAAGCCTTTTGTCGCGGTGACCCATTCGATTCGCCCCGTCGCGATCGTCCCTCACGATCCCAGAAAGCATCATGCTGTTACATGAGTTGCTTTGCGCCGAACTCCTCCACCGCATTCGTTGCCTCTTTCGGAATGGGAATACTACTAAAGCGCTGTGCTTGAAGGGCGGATATTTCTGCATACGGCCGAACAGCATTCGCATCCGTCTTGCAGTGACCACCGGCGGGAGGTATGTGCTGAGAACGGTTGTCGCAAAGCCTGCGGTCACAGTGACTGAGGAGAAGAGCAGCTCATCAGCTGAGTATAGGGCTTGCTCGCGGTGAATCGCCACTCACCACTCCGTGTAAACGCGTCCTGGCATCGGCGGCTCCCGCTCCCTTCCATCGCATAAATGTGGGGTCAAGGCTGTTCACGGAGAGGCAGCAGCTGACGGAACGAGAGCTTGTCATCGACGGTGTGCGCTACACTCGACACGAAATGCCGGTGGAAGAGTGCCCGTGGCGTACACTGAAGGAGTTGGCGCGCCGCCGACAGACACGAGCCGATACAGTCGAGTTCATACGCCGCCGCTGTCATTAACCACAAAGCTAGGCAGATTCAAAGTCGTCGCTCTTTGTCCAAGCGCAGATTTGGTCGTGCTTGCAGCGGACTTGGAAGCCCGACATGCTTCCCTTTCATACCCGCCAGACAGCTTCGATACCACTGAGTTTGGTTATTGAATCGACGCTGAATTGTTAATTTAGGTGGGTCGCAGTTGGCGCACGGTAGAAAGATACAGTGGTTAAGACTTCACCGGGCAAAGTCAGGCTAGTCTCTCCTAGACAGACCACAATGGTTCGTACCTCACATGTAAAGTCAGGCCATCCTGTGGACTGCTTTCAGCAACGGCGAGCAAAAATATGTTGAAATATCTTGCGGTGGACGACTTGTGGCAACAGTGACGTAAGGACTTGATGACAACGACTAGGCGGCTGTCTCAGCCCAAGGGAAGTGTCACTGTATCAGGCATTCGAGGCGAGCACAAACCCCTTTCGCCCCAAATTTTCCTACTAAATGCAGCTATATCTAGCCCTCAAAATGGCTTCATATCCGAGTCACCAGCACACCAGAAAGAACGATATATCAGACGATTGTATCTGGATTGAAGAGATGAATGCTGTTATATCGGCACTCGAAATCTCTCTGTACGCTCTCCGCAGCGAGCGAATGGTGTTACAGGCACGCCTCGATGCCTACAAATATCCAGTTCTGACTCTGCCTAATGAGATTGTCTCCGAAATCTTCATTGACCTCCTTCCGCAATATCCAACTTGTCCTCCTGCGACCGGACTTTCTTCACCAGCATCATTGGGTCATATATGCCGCAAATGGAGAGAGATCGCTTTCTCCACTGCAGCACTGTGGAGGGCGATATCCTCGACTTTGACAGAGAAGAAAACTCTCGAATCGCTGTTTCATCTTCTACAAACAAGCCTCCGTCTGTCTAGCTCCTGCAAATTACCCATTGCGCTAATAGACTCGGACCGCGTCGAAGATCGTACAGTATCATTGCGTATGATTTCTCAATTCGCACAGGAAATCATCGCTTCTTGTGGTCGCTGGGAGCACTTGACTTTTGACTTTCCTATAGAGGCCATTTGCCTTTTGAACGGGCATATGCCATTTCTACGTAGCCTCAAGCTTGGATGCAGTCGAGTGGACTCTCTGGGTACACCAATCGTAATATTCGGTGATGCCCCTCAGCTACGTTACCTATTATCTGTGTGAGTTGAACCACAGGAACTTGGTTTTGAACCAACTGTGGTTATACGAAATTCTAAGGCTTTGCGGTCTCTGTTTTGACATTTCCTGCTCCTGTAAAGTCCTGCTATACCCATCCTCAGTCGGAACACAGCTGTATACTTAAGATCTGGAGGGAGAACTGCCACCCAGGTTCCTCGTTGAATCTATACTGTGTTAGTATACGGACAGATACAGGACCACCATGAAACAAAGGTATCCGCCCGCTGTCAACGGAGAAGAAAAGGCGGAACAATTTGCGCTTCTGGTGTGTGGCTGTGCTAATTCAACGCCAAACGCCCATTAAGGAAATTTGGTTGAAGTAAGTTTGGAGTGAGAAAGTGATTGATTGAGTGATTTAAGTCGCCCGCTTGGCTTAGGGGTAAAGCGTCTCACTCGTATATCCAATGCGCAATGAGAAGATCAGCTGTTCGAATCAGCTAGTGGGCACGTTTTTGCTCCCAGCATTCATCTTAGACTCTCCAAACATTTCGCATCTCCTCTGTTTTTTTTTCCGACCTACTGTAAATGTACTTTGTGCCTGGTATGCTCTTTATAGCTAACAATAATCTACGTTCTTGACCAGGTGCGCCTATATTACGGTCTAAGTTGTGTTGGACATAGGAGTGCCGATGGCTCCGTCGGACCGTCGATCTGTTCAGTGCGATTTTAAATTAGAGCATTCCTTCGAAAGCCAATCACAATAGTTACGACCACGCCGGGCAGCGTTTCTCACACACTGGTACAGGTCAAGCTGATATTTGTGGTTCAGGCGATGTTAGTTGGCCCCGGCCAGATCCAGAGTCAATTTACCCAAAGCAAATTCATTGCGTACCTCGAGCGCTATATTTACCAAGAACGTTTGAGGCGAGAGCGAGATAACCGCAGCTACTATGGCAACAGAGAGTGGGCACTGCCAGGTGGGTATGAGCGGATGGTCGGCAGATGGATCATGGCTACTGCAAACTTTCAGTGTTGAAATCCCCCCGGCGCATGTAGTGCATCTCTGGCCGCGAAATTATGGTGGCGCGCAAATAGAACATCTGACTGGCGATGATTTAATTTGACGCCACTGTGCACAACTTCACAAGGCGGAGTGCGTAAATTACAGGATACACCACCCTGTTTGAAGTCCTGAAGAGGCGAATGCTGTTCAAAGTCTCAAAAGAGGCGAATATCTCCCCTTCGAAACGACAGGTGGTCTATTTTGTCAACAATCACAAGGTTTTGTTCTGGTTGAACTCCCGTTTGTATACTGTATTCATTTAGCCGTTAATGCACGTCGAAGCTGCATAAAAACCAAAGAAAACTTGGCACATACAGTCCTCGAATTCCCACTTCAATCGAATATGCGATTCGCGGCGTCCACAGTCGCAACTCTTTGCTACTTCTTCTCCTTGTCTTCTGTCGTCCTTGGCCAGCAGGACGCGGTGCGCAGGGACGTACAATCTGATCACCACAAGGCAAGTACTCCATGTTGGAAGTCTAGAATGGATTCAGTTGAATTTTTTTTTATAGCACAAACCTTATCCACCACCTCATCCGCCGCCACGCCCGCCGCATTGCCCTCCTTGTGGCCATCAGCCAGTCTGCGCAAAGGGAAGAAGATGTGTCGACCGTCGCGTCTGTTTAGTTGACGCTGAGGCGAATATTATATGCCCACTGTGAAGCTGAGGGGACTCAGGGCTACGGCGATGACGGTCACAAAAAAGATGGAAGGGGAACACAGATACACGATAAAGACGACTAAGAAGGAGGGAAGAAGGATGAAGGTGTGACCTCTGAAGGGGAAGGATCAGGATCCATGACCGCGAGAACTTGGAAAGCGATGGATAAATGTGCTTTTTGTAACAGGCTGTTGAAAATAAACGACGAGGATGTAAAACTGTGATCAGGATTTGTTTCTGTGTTGTGCGAAAGGAACAAACTCGACTGATTGCGTTTCAACTCTGATCCATACTACTATGACCTTGCCATTGGGGGCTATTTGGTATTTTGATATTGTCGGCTTCACTTTGGACGTGTCCATGAGGGCCACAGGGAGAATCAGACGTTGACATAGTCGTCGGGAGTCCTACGGGAATGGCCGCGATTGTCGGCAATGTGCCGAAAACTGGAAGGAAGGAAGACGTGGCAACAACAACACAAGCACAAACAATTGGTTTGAACCAAAGCCATCGTCAAGTTGAAACATCCACAAAACTCACAAAGGATCCTCGGAACGTGCCTGATTAGCTTTCTTTAATGGTACTAATGTACCGCTACACTTTTTAGGGAAAAGAGTTCAACTTTATCTAGACATTTTTCTACTCTGCGTCGTTCGGGACCTTGAAATAAATTACCATCCGTATTGTTCCGCTGTCCACCCATGCAACTTCCCATCCGGACCGATCTTATTCATACTAACCCTCTCGTTCCGATCCAACGCTGTTATAATCACCACATCCTCTGCAGTCAGCGTCGGTAACTGTTCGTTTCAATCATCAACTCCAATATTATACAGACAAAATAACCACGCACGGTAATATTCTGTTTCTGGCGCTCGGGATCTGCGCTCTTTGGGGTGGCAACAACACCGCGGGCAAGATGCCACGCGAGGATTATTTGTGTGGGTGAGACGCTGTATTTGTCCGCGAGAGCAACAATGGTCGGGTCATTGCGAACCTTCTCGAGCCCAGTAGGGCTGTATGCGGTAACTACGATGCCTTTTCTGCGGCAGTATTCAAGAAGTTCAGTCTGCGCGAGGTACGGATGTAGTCTGTGCATTGGTTATTCGCATGTACATCATTCGCAATCCAAACACGCACTCGACCTGGTTCACGGCTGGCACGATTTTCGCTGTTTTAAGCAGTTCCTCGAGACTAAATCTTCTATGTGAGTTATCTGGTATGCGGACGGGAAACCACACTCACGTCTTGATGGAAAAATTGCTCACTCCAATGGCGCGGGCTCTTCCAGTCGCATGTATGCGCTCCATCTCAGCCCAGGTGTCATTGAACGTTGGCGTATCCACAATTGTCAAGTCCTTCATTACGCCCTCCCAAGTGGATGGGCGCTCGTAGCCGCCTGCGAATGCCACAGTCCATTTGTCACGCAAAATGATGCTGGAGGACAAGGACAAAGACGCACCCGGGTACTGCACTGTTTGGGGGAAATGCATGAGGTACTGAAGGGAAAAGTGAGACAGAACATAGTGCCATGCGACCAGGCTGCTCACTAGATCAACATAATCTAGACCCAAGTTTTGCAAACTCTCGTCGAAGGAACGGACGACGTATCTGGGGTGGTGCCATCTTTTATCGTGTTAGCTAACAGAGCGAAGTCAACACATATATAATAAAACCCACGGAAGTTTCGTTGTCACGAATACATCTTTGCGCGGCAGGCCCGAGAGCCGGAATGCTTCGCCAACGGCCGACTCGGTCACTAACAAAGAGTGAGTACATATGATCATCTACCCTTCCTGATGTACTTACTGTACATCTGAGCCGTATCAATGTGTTTGTAGCCCAGCTTGGATCATATTGGTTTTGTTCAAGTTGCGAATCAAAACATCGCCCACCTGCAGCCCAGTGAGAAGCCAATTTTGCTCATTCCCTGCCTGAGCCGTCAGGTTGGGACCCGCCCCGAGACCTAAGATGACATCAGTTACTGCATGCGCAATCCTTTCATAGTGCAGAACGAACCTATGGCTGGAATCGAAGCTCCGGTGTTGAGTCTTATCGAGGGAATGGGCATGAGCAATTGTTCGGTAATGATTGTCAGAACTACAACCGCACTTTATATACAAGGACCTGTGCGCATGTATAAGCTCCAATGATTTCGCTTTATCAGCTGCTTATGAATGTCTTCAAGTTGAAAACGAAGCATTGCAATTTTGCCGCGGGTTACTTATTGGAAGCGAAAGTGCATGTCACTGCACTATTTGAGGCATGTCACGAAAGACTTGCCCCATGGAGTCGGCGTTTTCGGGGCAAACTGTTACTGAGGTCACCAGGTGACGCGTGACGATTGCCTTTGAACTTACCAATCTCGTATTACAAAATTTCTTATATTGAAGGAGCTGCGAGAAACTTAGCGGCTGTACTTCAGGAAATGTGATCCTTACCTTCTCCTATGCAGCGGAACTTGAGATCCCTATTGTTCAGCTAGCCTCCCTTAACAGACTTGCTACTCGTAACCTCCGAGTCGTTCTTCGCTGTTCAGTGGTATGTATCTGACGAGCAGTCTATGTTACCCCGGCGTCTCGGATTCACCGTTGGGTATAGTCGAAAGCAGATTTATGTGAAGTGGTCGGATCTTGAAGTCTTCTCGTTGTTTCTTTCAACCATCTCTTGGAAAAATAGTCCATAGTCCATGACATCTTTCTTGGAGTCGGCGGGGGGTAAGTTTCATAATGATAGATTGAAATGCAACACAACACACCACACTAGGAGCCCAAGTCTGAGATTTTCATTTAACCATTGTCGCCGTTGATTTCGACGAGAAAATTCCCCTGCTTGATGTCAGTTTATCTCAAGTTTATCTGACCCACAAACTCAATCATAAGACAGCGCGCTCTTTCGCGCGGAAAGAATTCCACAAAAGCTGTGGCGGGGCAAGACTTATTCCTGTAATTTCGATTTGGCACAATACTGCCTACACCCAGTAAGAAGTTTTCGGTCGACGCCCCGACATTCCGAGATTTAATAATGCGCAACACGCCAAAAAACTAAATAAAAACTCATCAATGAACGAATAATGTATGCACAATGGCGGGGCTTTATGATCTCAGTCTGAAACCATGCGATGAAGAGGGGGTCCAGACTACATAGTACAAATCCATAGGATCATTGCGACCTAGGCAGCAGCAACGGCAAGCTGTCGTTTTTCAGACTTGCTGTCTGCTTGCTTCGCCTGGATTTCTGCGAGGAAGCCCAGAAGTTCCTGTAGCGCAACATGAGTCTGCGGGTATTGAGTACGCGACGAGCACACACCGCGTTCGAAGGATCAAACGCCAGGCCGAGTTTCAGAGCCTCTGACGCTTCCTCTAGCCTATCTATCGCCACCAGCGTCTTGGCTTTCCGGAAATGGCCCTTGCCCCAATTTCTCCGGAGCTGAATGACCATCTCTGCGTCTGCTAATGCGGCGATATAATCGCGGGACTCGAGGTATGCAGCAGAGCGATTTGATACGACAGTGGAAAGCTCTTCCCGCATGAATTGGTTCGCTTCCCACGGCGGCCGCTGGACTGCAATAGATGCGGCCATATTGTATTTCTGTATGGCTTGTCCATGCTTCCCCATTTTGAACAAGGTCTACAAATGAATGAGTCCATGCATGCGACCGTGCAAAAACTTTCGTACGTTCCCTTCATCCTTCGTTGTTGTTATTGCTTGGGAGAGCTTCTGGGAGACGACATTGGCAGGTGGGGGACATAAGAGCGTGGGGTTTCCGACGAGCAGTTTCGA